TTTTCGAATTAATTTACGAGAATTGGCAGACGCAATGGTGGAGTTCTCATTTGGATCAAGCCAAATCTTTTTCTCACCGCATCGTAAAACAGAGGCTGCGAGCCGCTTTTGACCTCGCAGGTTGCTGCAATTACAAGAATTTTGATAAACTTTACTTATGAATACGAATATAACGAAAATATAAATATACAAAAATATGCGAAACATACCTCATACTTCAGCTTAGCGCACGAAGAGGGTACTACGTGAAGAGTACCGGCTACGTAAAACAAAGGTATGAATCCAACTTTTCATATGTATTTAAGTTATTTATAACATTTATTTTCCGTGAATCATATATTATACATAATTATGTCTATTCCACATGAATTTTTATTTGGTATATTTAGTGGGAGAAATTTATTAATTTGTCACAATTTTTCATTGTCCGCAACGTTTTCATTTATCAAAGCATACTTTCGCTGGGAGTTCATCGAGAAATCATTTATGAATTATCATGACGATAAAAATAATGATAATCACCCTAAAGGACAGAATATTGTACATTATCAAGTATAAAGTAAGTGTAGCCGAATCAGTACATTTTATAATGAGTAGGCCTATTCTGTTTCTGTAAATAGCCAAATGCATGAAATAGAATACCATTAAAGCTAATCTTAAATCAATAATATTTTGACTTCTATCTTTAACATTATGCTTTCGGGTAGATGAGCCAAAATACATTCAACAATAAGTCTAACAAAAAGTAAATGGGTTAAATTCGACAATATGCCCCACCCATTTGAAAATTAAATTTATAGATATAAGAGTGATAGCTAAAGGCACTCGTTGAGGAAATAAGGATGAAATTTTCTAAAATTAAAATCTTAATGATTGAAATTCTGTTTTAACGTCTTATCAGAAAGATATAATTTTAGTTACCACTGTTATTTTTCATTTGATTAAATAAAACCTTCATGTGCATTAAATGCAGCCCTTTTAAGGGGTTTGATTTAAATAATCTTCATTGATTTTCAGAAATACTTTTCAAAAAAAACCATCGCATTGAATTAACAGAATAATAATTAATCTCAAAAGGAGCGCTGGGCAACAAGCCAAGAAATATAAATTGAAAACATTTTACTTGATGGTATTGAATCACTGTGAACATGATATGCATTGGAAATGAGTTTAATAGCCATTATTTGCATATTAAAAATTTGTCAGATGGCCAAAAACTGAAAAAACATTATTCAAACTAACTAAAATATTATAAATTTAAAAAATATTTATATATTTTAGGTCAAATTAAAGCTGATAATTAGTTATTAAATAATCGTATTATATCTTGTTTTTATCCAGTAAATGTCAAATTTTTATTGATGCCCGCATTGTTTGAGGATATTTTCTTGTTCCAGTCGTAATGTCTGCAGAACTGCCTCAAACGCAGGAAATTGGTGATATTTCAACCTTAGACGGCAATTCCCAACAAGTTAGCCAAATATGGGGTTGCCTTTTTCCCCTAAAAAGAAACATGCCATCCGTTGGTAAGTTGCACATTTGGCTACCTAGCACTCTTAGCTATGACAAAAGACACTTACACTGCTGGCAGGGATGGAAGCTGTGATATAATTTTCAAAAGCGATATGTTTACTCATGGCACACATATAAATGCTGTGAGCAAGCTGCATTTTCGCATTATAAGGGTATGTGTTTTGTTTATGCAGCTTATCCCAATTTTAGGAGACAACTGATATGACCTCGCAAGTATTTATTCTTGATCTAAGCACAAACGGAACTTTTGTTAATGGAAAGAAAATAGGCAAAGGTGGCAAGCAGCCTCTTTCAAACAATGACGAGATTTCAGTCGCTTCACAGAATTGCAAATGTAAATATATACTGCATGATATGACTAATTTTATATTTCAGGTTACATGTATGCTGATAAATTTTCTAGCGATTATCCTGAGGCCGTTTCCTCAAAGTACACCGTTTGTCGGTCCCTTGGACGTGGTGCATGCGGCGAAGTTCGCGTCGTATACGAACGGAAAACATGTTTACAGTACGCTTTGAAAATTGTCCCGAAAAAGACTTTTTCCTCCTTTAACGGTGCAAATTTAAACAATCGTGAATTAACTGAGGTGGAGATTTTGATGAAGTTAGATTATGTAAGTATATTCTGGTCTCAGTCATCTCTTCCTTTCAGCCCTGTATTGTTAAGATTCATGACGTGATCGAATCCAATGATACTCTGTATATTGTATTAGAACTGTGAGTTTAAATTACCTTTATTTTTCTTATTTTCGATCAGTGTTGAGGGTGGTGAGTTATTTCAAAGAGTTGTTGATAGCGGCTTTCTACCTGAAGATGATGCTAAATTCCTCTTCTTACAAATGCTCATGGCAACTAAGTATCTACATGATAATGGAATAACTCATCGGGATCTTAAACCAGAGAATATTCTTCTTTCTGGCAAATCAAACAGGTGTCTAATAAAGGTCACAGATTTTGGCCTGTCAAAAATTGTTAATGAGAACACGATGTTGAGGACATTTTGTGGAACACCTACTTATCTAGCGCCGGAAATTTTAACCACTGCTGGAACAGGTTCATACACCCCTGCGATCGATATTTGGTCTCTTGGTGTTATTTTATATGTCTGGTAGGTGGTGTGTTGGACTATTTATTGCCCTCATTTAGCCTCGTGGGTTATCCTCCATTCACCGATGAACGAAAGGACTATGATCTCAAAACGCAGATCATTCGAGGACTCTATGATTTCCCTGATAAGTTTTGGAGTGGTGTTAGTGAAAGTGCCAAAGATCTTGTCAGAAAGCTGATTTGCGTTGATCCCGCCAAACGCATTACTCTTGAGGCAAGTTTAATTCACGCTTTTCCCCATCCTCCGTGCCCGCTTTTAGTCTTCTCTTGGCTAACTCGTTTCTTCTTGTGCTTTCTATAACTAGGAGGCCCTCTTGCATCCCTGGTTGAATGATGCTTCAATGCGAAATGAGCTGGCAGATCTTGTAAAAACGGCCGGCTATGATGACTTGGTTGATGGTGTCTTGGATCCCCACAATCTTATCTCCTGTGTGAGAAATCGGAATTCCTCCACTCCTGAAAATTTAGATGCTGTGATGGTTGAGAATGATGACACTATCAATCATATTCCCGATCCCGTAAGTATATCTCATCTACGTTTTCCTTTATTTTTTATTGCTAGTTTTGACATATTTTTTGGCGGTTGTACAGCTTACAATATACCTTTTATTTGCGTAATTTTTTGACATGGGGTGTATCCAACATTTAAAGTGCCTTGCACATTCGTTCAGAACGCCGATACGGTCGCCTTAACGTCGTTTGCATCTCGCTTGGAGTCTCCAGGTCTTCTCTTGGTATGTAGTCAGCTGCAGCTGTAGCTATGTATGATATAGAGTTGCTTTATACATCGTAAATGTACGACATCCAGTCCTCACTTTCAGTACCTAGAACATAGCTCTCAAAGCAACTCTTACAACAACCCAAAGTTGCGAGAGGTTCGAGGGAAAACTGATCGAGTCTTGTAAAGTGGGGTTGTCACAACTATCATTTTCTATCGCAATCATTGTTTTTTTTTGTGTAGAATTGCGCTTTCGGATTTAACCACTACAAGAAATAAATTAACCTAATTGCAAATGAAATGTTGATAAATACTAGTCATCTTTAAAAGCTGTCACTAAGCTCAAGTTAGCTTAAGCCCAATAATCAATGAATACCGGGTCAACATAATTGGATGTGCGCATCGGTGGAGGAGCGATCAACACAAGCATCTACTATCCTATTGGCCATGAATTAGATGCTGAATGGCCAAGCCCGTTAAGTCAGGTCGTTGAAATGAAATGTCATAATTCGAGTTTCTCGGGAGGTTCCTCGATGGTAGCTTTCTGACCATTTAGGTTTATTTCATGGGTCTGATTCTCACTGATTTAATCTTTTCGATAATGGGAGTGGCGTCAGAATTTGAGTTTCACTAGCGATTGCTGGAAAATGCTTTTGTAGGTGGGTCTGGACGTTGTTTCTTTAAATCGGCATTGTTATATTAACTAACTTTATGGCGGCTAACGATCTCTCTCACCTGCGGCTTGAAGCTTCTATTAAGTGTCTTTAAAATGAATGAACATTGAATAACTTGCGTTAATTGAGCTTTAGAAATAGTTCTGAATATCCTGTTTTTTTCATAATTTAGCTCCATTAAATTAATTAATTCGCTATGCTCCATCTGCTATTTTGGCTATTGGAAGAAAACTGGACGGGGACTATACTGTGGACATGAGTATTCTCATCAATTAATGTTTCACATCATAATAGTTATATCAAATGGGAGGCGTTTTGATAGTTATCATTAGCCCTTTAGTTGACTTCAGGCTTCACAGAGGCGAAGCAACATCACACTGAAAAAAGTCGAGAGGGGGGGGGACAGAAGAGTGTTTCAAAGATGTGAAAGAGACAGACACAAAGTAGAGTGAAAAGGTGAGATGAATACTGTGGAAGTAGTCGAATGTGACATACAGTGGGTTGATGCAAGTTTGAGGTCAGAAGTCAACTGCCAGTTAATAGACTTTCTTGCCGCATGAGTATACGTTGCCCAGGGTGCCCACGTGGAGGTAAGTCTATCGCACACCCGAAATTCTCAACATTATTATTATTATTAAATTAATTTCCATATTTTTTTGAATGACTGTTATGCCTGTTTAAACTTTTGGCATTTCTGCAAAGTTGCTTAATTTCCTTGAATTAATTGGAGATATAGGATGGAATATTTTGATTGCACTTCAAGCATCGTTAATCTGATTTTCGACTAGATTTACAGCAGTGTGATGTACTTCCCTTCCATTAAAGTTTAAATCGCGTTGCTTCACATCTCTCTCTCTCTCTCACCCTCAAATAACCTGTTTTGCGGTTGCGGTTATCCTTAGGCTATCACATGACCAGACAGGAAGAAGTACAGTGGAAACGAGCTTGAAGTACGTTTGTGGACTGGCGTAATCAGCCGGCACACACATATCTCTACCTGATGAAATTAGAGATTGAGGGGAGCAAATTAAAACATCCATGATAGCTTGGTGCTGTGCGTCCCACTCATTGAAGTATGTGGAAAACGCACATTGGTCATTAGTGAACAACGAACTCTACAACAAGTAGTGTTCACATCCCAAAATATGTTCAAATAGCCTGAAATTGCATTCCATTACACCTAAGTCGTTTGACATATCTGAATCGATCTGATTCTTATTGAGATGTCAAGCGATTGTGATTGCCTTTGATTTTAACTCTTTAATGCACTGCTGCACCGTACGTTCCTCTTTCGAAATAAACTCCATTGATACCTGACACGTAACAGAATGAAAGAAAAACAATATGAAAATTTTTTTAGAACACCACTGTCCATCGCTCTTCTTGCATATATGATTTAGTGGTCATTAGATGCAATTACATTTGGTATTAAAAATATTTTAGATAAACTGGTGAATTACCCAATCAGAATTGGATCAATTCGACACTCGATCTTTTAACATTTGACTCTCTTGGACTTTGGGAATAGAAGTAAACCGTTGACTTGACTGCTACCCCAAACCTTTTATCGAACTCTAGAAAATGGTCAAGATGAATTTTATCTCCGGACCTCGTTAATAGGCATTGAATTGGGAATAACCTTCAACCAACGATTGCCTGGCAAAACACCTTCACAGATTGGGAGTATACACTCAACCCACATGCCCCCTATGTGACCCACAGGAGGAAATGGAGAAGACCCTCCTGATTTGGTGTCCAGCCCTAAAGACAACAACGGAAAGCCAGAGATACTGGGAAGCAAGAAGACAGCTAATGAACTGCTATTAATTAACTGCTCTATATGTACCTCCCACCCATGGGGAAAGCTGACGTCAAAGTTTAAATAACATAAAGCCTGTCATTTGAAGAAAAAAATTTAAAGCAAGTTATATATTTAGCTTTAAGTCTAGCCATTGAAAACACGAATAACAATGAGCACAATTTATGTTTAAATTACATTTATTGTTATATAAATCCGCATTTAGCTGAATGTGCAATGACCTTAAAAGACGAAATTATCAATTTTAGTTTTACCCTAACCTCTGGCTCACCTTTAAGTCAGCACCTATAACACCACAAAATATGGAATCATTCCGAGCTCACCTCGACTACATATCCCACGTCAACCGCCAGGCAGTGGGTCATCATCTTTATAGCATTTAGTTGTAATCACTTAGTGTTGCCTCTAAATGACTATAACGAGCTCTATAAGTGTTTAGCGTTTCCTGATAAAGTGACTTGGTGTATACACGAGGTGGAAAATTTTCCACACACACACACACACACACACACACACACGATAAAAAAATTGCTCAACTACTTTCACCTGATTNCCAAGCCCGTTAAGTCAGGTCGTTGAAATGAAATGTCATAATTCGAGTTTCTCGGGAGGTTCCTCGATGGTAGCTTTCTGACCATTTAGGTTTATTTCATGGGTCTGATTCTCACTGATTTAATCTTTTCGATAATGGGAGTGGCGTCAGAATTTGAGTTTCACTAGCGATTGCTGGAAAATGCTTTTGTAGGTGGGTCTGGACGTTGTTTCTTTAAATCGGCATTGTTATATTAACTAACTTTATGGCGGCTAACGATCTCTCTCACCTGCGGCTTGAAGCTTCTATTAAGTGTCTTTAAAATGAATGAACATTGAATAACTTGCGTTAATTGAGCTTTAGAAATAGTTCTGAATATCCTGTTTTTTTCATAATTTAGCTCCATTAAATTAATTAATTCGCTATGCTCCATCTGCTATTTTGGCTATTGGAAGAAAACTGGACGGGGACTATACTGTGGACATGAGTATTCTCATCAATTAATGTTTCACATCATAATAGTTATATCAAATGGGAGGCGTTTTGATAGTTATCATTAGCCCTTTAGTTGACTTCAGGCTTCACAGAGGCGAAGCAACATCACACTGAAAAAAGTCGAGAGGGGGGGGGACAGAAGAGTGTTTCAAAGATGTAAGAGACAAACACAAAGGTAGAAAAAAGGTGTGGTGAGTACTGTGAAAATAGTCGAATATGGCATAGAGTGAGGTGATGGTAGTTTGAAGTGAGAAGTCAACTGCCAGTTAATAGACTTTTTTTGCTGTGTGAGTATACGTTGCCCAGAGTATTCGTTAGTTTTATCATACCCACGGGTTATGCTATGCTATAATAATTCCTATAGACGAACCCCTTAGCCAATAGAGGTTTACGAATCAAGGACTCCAGGTTTGCGCTTGTGAGTTTTTTCGATAGGAAGAAGTGAAGTGAGAGAGAAAGGCTAAATGTAAACTTACTATCATTTTTATTCTCTTTTCTAGTTTGTCCGTCCTAAGAGGCCAGCCGGCACAACCATTGCTATCAAGGATCCCCAGGGGCCTAAAAGAGTTGCATTATAGATTTGACGTGCCTATATTTTTATCCCTTATCATCCCTCATATACCACTTTATATTAAAACTTATTGTGTTGACAGCTTTGTATCGACGAAATATACACTTAGATTACACTTATTTTGTTTATTCTCTTTCCTGCGTTTCGCTATGGGTGGAGCATGCTAGCCGAATTTCATTAGGAGCGAATATTTGGGCAGAGGAAGCTATAGTCACGGGAGAGAGTAATGTCATTTAAGTTGGAATCGCAATGGTTAAGTTAAACGTGCCTTCAATGCGAGACTTTTCGAAGCTTTCCTTTCTTGTAAGGAAATGCATAGATTCGTTGTCTTTGCCCACTTTTCTCACCAAACTCCTAACTAAGTTCGTCGAAGTGTGTGTGTGTGTGTGTGTGGTAAGTGGTTGATTCCACCTCTATTTCTTCACTAATATCCAGCAGTTTTCCGCCTTATGGAGAATAGTTGCAAATAAACTCTACTGTGCCTGTTATCATTATTTTTGTCCCCAAGATTAGTCGATAGCATTGTCGAATCTAGAAACCGTCTAGGTTTTACTAACTTACTTGGCTATTATTATTACCCACAGAAATGCACGAAAATGTCTATTTTTAACTGGGGAAATGTAACTGGCATTGATAAACTGAAGAAAGCCCGATAAACGACGAGGGAGAGGGTGTCAAAAGGTGGACTAAAACATCGTATCACCTCGTTTATTTTTTCTTGTTCAGTTGGTACTTTGTTTACTAAGTGAGTATCTCCACGTTCCAATGTAATCGAGGCTTATTTACCGGTTCGTTGAAAATGAAGGCTTTGTCCTGA